ATTTTGTAATGTGGAAAAAACATGAAGAGATGCCACTTACACTCATTTAGTCTTGGCTTTTTGAGCAAGGCCTAAGCTACCTCAAGGCTAGAAGATTTTTTTTCTCAAAGCCTAAAAATTGAGATGATATAACTTAAGTACTATTCCTGCAGAATAAGCTGACTTGGAACACTGTGATTCTGGCTTCACAAAATCACTTTTGCAAACCAACCCATTTGTATTTTTCAAATGTAGATGATGATGATAAATACCAAGCTGCATGGAGCAGCCTCTGCTGCTCACTTTCCTCAAAGCACAGCTTAGTATCATTACCATTGCCATATCAGAGTGCAATCTAGAATCAGCTTTCATTGTTGCTAAAATGTGAACCTGAGCAACGTGAATACTTCAGCATACTTAATTCATATGTTTTGTGGGTGCATATTTGGCTTCAACTGTGAAATGTTATTGGGACAGAAAAGAAAATCCTGGTAATTAGGATACTCCATCAGCTTATTCTCTGTCTTTCATTTGTGGTTTTGTCTATGGTATAATTGTGTTCCAGTATATGTGTAAACAAAATACAAATGTCTCATCTAAGCTGAGACACACTATTGGACAGTAAGTATACAGCCTTGTATACAGAAATGAGTGGATGCAATGTTTAATCCAAATCTAGATGTTTATACTGCAAAAGGCACCTGCCATATATTTTCTGGCCCAAACAGAAGACTACCTTAGTGTCCATCTTCTTGCTTATACAATTCTTTAAAAATGGAGTAATTTCATATGACAGTGTGATGAAAGCTTCAGCTCTTGATGTGGAACTTCATTCAGGGATTCCGTACAGCTACTGTCCTCTTGGGCTTTTCAATTCAGTTGGCAGCTTTATTCTTTCAAATGGTCTGTGTCCAAAGTTTGTAGCCAGAGAATACAACATGGACTACACCAGTTGGATTTAAGGCCTCACCAGCATCCTCAGCCAGTACTTCTTCTGAGAATATAAGTAAGGTTTTGATTCAAGGGGAGGAGTGTTGCAAACCAATAAAATCATAATTTAAACTGGTACATTTGTGTCAAACTGGTGTAAATATGTGTTGTATGTTTTCTCCCCTCTATTTATATAAGGCAGAGCTCCTATTGATCCTGTTTATGCCTCATAACTTCAATGCATGTCCTCAAGATCACTCAGTCAGTATTCATATGAAAGTCTAGAAAGACCTAGAAAATCTTTAATCTGTGTTTGGCCTTTAGAAAGACAAACCTTGAGGACCTCCTCTATGGAGCTCCACAGGAGCAAGTCACTCAGTCTCCTTGTGGTTTCTAAAGCCTGGGATTTCCTTCTCCTTAACAGATATAATGAGTTTTTTCTAACCACTATAAAGAACATACACTATTTTTAAGTGTATCCTGATAGGTCTGCAGAATATCTCTCTAGTTACTTCTCTTATTAGATGTTATATTAAATTATGACAGTTTAATTATGAAGTAAAGTTTATGCAGTCACCCTGTCTTATCCTTATGTTAATCTTCCTGCCTGCTTCTCTGTCTGTCCATGCATCTCTAAATTCCTTATTATTAGGGGAAAAGTTAATTACTATTCTGTGATTGGGATAGAAGAGACAAATTGAGGCAAATCCTGAGGAAACATAGCAGAATTTTGTACTGAACATGTTCAACTAGCTTCTGACTTAATAGAGAACTTTCATCTCCTCTTCAGGGTGGGGATCAGCCTCGGTTATATGGTGTGAGTTCAAGTGTCATATAGGAAATGTTATGAAGAAAAAGTCAGAAATTTGCAGAAGTTTAGGCTTCACCACTTTCCTGTGGCTAATAGCCTGCAATGTGGTGTGTAATATTAAGTCTGCTAAAGAGAATTTTTCTTGTGTTTTATGCAACAGTCATTAATCTCATGTGGGCTGGTGCATGTTTTAGCAATGTTCTTTGGTGGTGGAGAACTGATCATTTTAAATTTTGGGAGGGTCTGTGAAAAAATTTCTGTTTTCAAACCTATTTCCTTTGAAAAGTGAAGATGTGAACAAATATGCCAGGCATTCTAGCTAAGTAACACTGATGTGAACAATTTCTTCTAGCTTTAGAGGCTAATACCTCTGTCTATATTTAGAAGCTTGAGACATATTGCAGTATTTACACTTGCTTCTGTATACAGATGAGTGGCACTACCCTTCTGATGGGAATCCAGAACAAATCACCCATCAGCTTCCATGTCATCTAGAAAGGATAAATTGTCATGTTTATCACACTGTAGTACACTGTGTGTCAATGGCATTTTGAATCAAGTGCTCTTGCTCTTCTGTATTAAAATTACCACAGCTTCTTTGGACATGTCTGCTCTATTTTTGAACCCTCTCACCTTGTCCACATTTTCTGACCCAGTGTGGATCAAAGGTTGCTCACCACCTTTTATGATTGCATTGCAGTACAAGTGGTCTGGTGAGTGCTTAACTATTTTGCAAAAGCTGTGGATATCTGTACTTTGAGTATCAGATTCACCGAAATAATAATAATGTCTGGATTTGCTGCTCTTGACACGAGGGGGATTTGAAAAGTGAAAATTAAGTCCTGGCTTGATTTCAGTACATTAAATTACTACTTATTCATGCCCCTTCTAAAGAATAACAAGCTACAGTATGACATCAGTGTTCTTCAATGAAATGCAGTCCAGAAACAACTCAAGTTTGAAAATTAAAAAAGTGGGATCATATTATTTTACATAAAAGAATAAAAGATCCTCCAGGACAGAAAGCCAAGATCATGTAGCTGTTGCCTCTTATGGGTGCCTCAGCATCTACAGGGTGGCAAACAGGGGCTAAATGGGAAGGAGAGGAAGTACCATCTACAATAAAGAATCCCACAAGAGATTTTTTTTATATATATATTTTTTTGCCAATCTGAAATTAACTGGTAGTGACTATGTTTCAGGAGTTGTCTGGTACTTTGAGGCACTGGTGAATGTTTTGTGCATTTGTGTCATATATTGGGCATTCAGAGTGTTTGCCACTGACAGATGATAGAAAGAACCATCTTCATGTCTCTACTGTCTTATTTACAGGTAGAAACAATTGAATTTTTGTTCTTTGTCCAGCACTGCTGCTACCTGTAAACATTTTCATCTTCATAGTTCTGTCCTTTCATAATTTCCAAATGTGCAGTTTAAAAAAATGGTTTTATGTTCTGAACTGGGCCCACTTTAAATGTCAAAAAAGAAGCAAAAAATTGAATAGCTCTATGCAAATAATAAAAATATCCTTTATAAAAGATAAGAAATTAAAGGACTACTGAGAAACATTTAAGCCAGCTGTCATATATCAGATAATGCCATTTCACAGAACTCGAAGACAAAGAGCATAATTTTCCTGGAAGTGAAGTAGCATAGTCACACTCTCTTTCAGTGGAGAACAGGATAGAAAAAAGAAAAAAAGGCACTTGGCTTATCTTCTGCTAAAGCCTTTGTGTAATTCATTAAGCAACCCTTATCTAAAATTATAGTGTAGGGCATTTGCTGATGTTTTCCTGACTCAATGAAAACATAAAGAGGTACTAAACCCAGCTGGTCATTAACTCCCCTGCTAATGCTCTGGGCTGATTCATGTTTTCTATTATACCCGACTGGATTTGGCTTCCCTGAGCAATTAATACCTCTGAGTTCCTCCTATGGAGGGCACGTTTCTTTTGATTTGTTCTAAGAGTCAGGCTTATATGCTTTCTGTCCAGTCTGGTTTCACCTGAAGCAACACCCTATTCCAACCACTCCTGCAAAGAATGTGTTCAAAGTGCAGATTTCTTCCACAGGGTGTTTAAAAATCCATTCTTCTATTACAAAAGGAATAAAAGAGTTGATAATAAAAATCAGAGTTATTAAATATTCTGATGATCTTGAATATTGGGGAGTTTTGTTTCATCCTTACAGACTGATTGTACTGCTGTACAGATTGCACATACTGCTTTTTAATTAGGTTCTTGCAATACCTGCAAACCATTGCTGTCTTGTGGACACTATACAAATTATAAGAATAGTGTTGTAGCAAATCAACCACAAGTCACATTTCTCCATTTATCACCCTTTTTCTGATTATATTTTCATGGACTTCAAATCCAATGTTCAAAACTCATATTTTATGCTTAAACTTAAATAACAGTAAAATAGCACCAAATCAATGGTAGTTTCTGTTAGAAGTTGGAACTTGCTACTTATGATAAATTCACTACAGGGAAGTACAAGAAAATTAAAAGCATATTGGCATTTTGCCTTTGGAAAATTTCTTTTCACCTTGATTGCTGCCATATACTATATAGGATAACTAAAAATTTTCATGTCCCTATGTTTTGACTCTATATCCTCAGTGCTGCAGATGCCACTTTTGTGCCCTTCTGTCTACTTGTGTTTACAGGACTGTAGTTTTTGACAACCATTTCAACTAGTAGTTTTTCATGCTGAAGAGTAGGAATCCCATTTTCTCTTCCTGCCTTTTGTCCTACCGTGGGCCATCTTGGCACCTTGTCCATGCATCCTTCCCATGGAGGTGAGGTTGTCACAGTGACAGCACATCCTTGGTCACAGACCCTATAACTGCAGAAGTCTCAGTCAGTTTGGAAATTTTAGTAGGTTTTTATTCATCTGTGATGTGCCTCCCAGCCACCCACCTGTTCTGTCCTCACAAGCCTGGTGACAACCCTCCACAGGGTCACTTTTGGAACATTCACCTCTATCCTTTGGGGTGACATGTCTGTAGATTAATCCCGGATGGTCAGTCACCTGCCATACCCACAGCACAGAAAGAGGCTGGTCTGTGAACATTCCCATAGACTTGCAAGGCAGCTGGGTAATAACTAAGTTGATACTTGCTTTTCAAAATATGTGTGGAGCAATAATGAAGTGTAACTGAAGAAGGATAAAACTGGAATTACCTATACTGCATTGTAAAACCTGATTTTCTTTCTGTTAAAGCAGAAAATTTTTGGTGATACCTAACTTACAACTCTGCTTATTTTTTTTTCAGACATGGAGATGACTTGATTGTGACACCATTTGCTCAGGTAGGAACAGCTTTGTCATATTTCTCATGTGGCCTTGTAATTTAAAGACAAAATGGCCAAACCAGTTGTTTTCTGTTGTTGATATTATATATGTTTGCCTGAAACAAGAAAAGTGTTTCAACAGAAAGTCGTAAACCTCCCACTCTGTTAACTATACCTCTCTTAGCACTTTTTGATTATCTGAAAAGTTGAAGTGCCACAGCACGACAAACACCTTTGATCTCTTCCAAATACTGTAGCAGGCATTCTTGATTAAGACAAATCTCTGATTCCTGTTCTGTCATTTATTAAATTACAATTTCTCCACTTGAACATCTTTTATGAATAAAATACAATGAGATTTTTAGAAATGAGATAAATTTTACCCAGAACACTTATGTTCCCTTACAAAACCAGGTTTGTTTTTTCTATTCAGATTCTGGTTTATAAAATACCAGTTCAAAATTCTTTATTATTCAGAATAAAAAGCCACAGTTTTTCACAAGAGAGCTTCCTTATAAAGTATGAAAAATTAACATTGCTTTTCTTTGAACTCCTGATGATGGGTTTTACTCCAAAACAGATAGGAATTTAAGTCAAATTACTGTAATTATGAAGTCATATGTGGTTGAAGGTGAATGGAAAGAAAAAGTCACACAGCAGTGTCAAATAAGAATATTATAAGAATATAATATATATAATATATAATATATACAATGTATCATATATATGATATATAATATATATCATATATATATATATCCTATATCATATTATATACATCATATGTCATATATATGTATAACACATATGCCACATCTAAACATATGTGGCAGCTTCAGCCACACTATGCAGGTTGCTTTGGTCAAATAATAAGCTATTAAAAGTATATTCATTAAATACTTTATTATATATTCAATTATATTGAAAAGAGATTCAGTGTTTATAAGACTCAATCAAATCCTTATTATGAATAAAACCATCATCTTTTACTAGCAGAGAAAAGCAAGGGCCTTTTATGAAATACTCTGAAATCTTCACTGCACCCTGAATATGCAGATTTGATGACTTATATAATTGGTTTTAATCCATGCTGAATTAAAAACAAGTCAGTTTGCTTCCTGATTTTTGGAAATAAAAATATTGCAAAATTAATACTATTTAATTAGCCAAATATATTTTTATTATCTTAACTTCTTTGGAATTTACCTCCAATAATTTGACCACTGCCAGTCATTGCTAATTCTTAAATACTTTCTGTTACAAACTTTCATTAGTTTATTCTTTTTTTTCTTCAGTGTCCTACTCACTTCCTACCTCCAGTATACATTTAAGGTGCTATGAAAAGAGGGCTGTGCACTCCTCAACTCAGATCTCTGAAACCCAGCTTCTCATTGCTGCTTTCATTATTCTTCAGATGGCTTCACCAGGAACCCAGCCCAGTCTGGGCTGAGAAAAAAAAAATTTACAACTTCTGCAAAGACATACCAGTGATTAGTGTTTCTGCTTTCTCCCATTTCCAGCCTAGCCCCAATAAACTCACAATTCCTCTCTGACATCAGCTGAACAACCTCTCTCCTGAGAGAGAGGTTCATCTTTTTACCCTCACATGGCACAAAATCTTTTGCATGTTGCCCAGCTGCCTTCAGAAGAGAGTGCCTATGCCACTTATAATTGAAGACACTTCACTACATTCACTGTCTGCTATCTTGCATGAAGTTAAGTCCAGAAAGGAAGCAGTTAATCTATGTTGTCTTTTCCAATGAGTAAAGCTTGTAAGAGCCTGCAGACTTTTCCTGCATTCTCAGGGGGCAACTTCCTCTTTTTCTGGCCTTCTGCACTAAGTCCCTAAATCAATTGTGCCTCTTAGAGGAGACACTTTTGCTTTTTTCCTTTCCTAGCAGTCTCAACAATCTCATTCCATTTGTCCTTTGGAGTTTATGGGGACTGAACTGCAAATTAAGATTTTGTGATTATTTTGTATGCATGAAATATTTGAGTTGAATGGGCTATTATCTTCCAGACTCAAATGCTTTTCTTGTTATTTTAAAGAAATAAATAGAATTATTTAAAAAGAACTTTCCTCCCCTGCAAGTCAGCCTGCCTTCAGACAGCAAATGAGTTGTTTGTGAGGGGAACAAAAAAATAGATGTAAACTACTGCCTTTGTATTACAGGCGTATTATTGTCAAATAATAGCCAAAGGTTCCAGACTAACGTGCCCAGGAAAACTTTTGCAGTGGTTTTGCAACGTGCTTTCCATTTTCTTTCACCACAGTGGAGCAGAGATCAGTCTCACTTATGCAGAAATTGATACTGACACCACTTTTTTTGTTCCAGGTTCTGGCCAGCCTGCGTACTGTCCGGAATAATTTTGCTGCATTAACCAATTTACAAGACCGGGCACCCAGCAAGTGAGTGTCATTTTTTGGCCACTGAACTTTTTGCAGTGGCACTTTTTTAATGTAAGCTAGGAGACAAATAGGAGTTATAGATTTCAGTCTGTGCCACCAAATCTGCATAAAACAATGATGAGGAATAAGTTTATAATTCCCTAAAGATGTTATAGTTGGTGGCTGAGACAATAGCTTCCTTGCCTTCTAATTGATCCTTCAATTGTTGTCCTTGCAGAAACCTGGAGTAGGTTTTTTCACCTTATGTGATTTTAGATAGTGATATGTCTAAGATCATTCAAAGATGACCATTCAGGCACAGTCTGAGTATTGCAAATGAAACAGAGTGAGCAGACAGCTGCACTCACTGAGATCTGCTTGCATGATCTGAACCTAGAACTCCATTCATTCAAGGTAGTGATACCCTACCTATCCACAGTAGTTCATAACTATAAGTTAGGCAGCATAAATATGATCTCTCTCCACTCATGTTACAGCATCACAGTTAACAGTAATGTTAGTTACACTGGCAAATGTAGAGAAGTTACTTCCCTCACCCAAAGCATGCATCTCGAGACCTAGAAGTAATTAGCATTCCAAAGAAATGATTGTCATTGAATTATAAGTCACATTTCAAGCTATGCATTTGCTCTAGATGTGATTAGGCAGGTTTTTAGTAAACCTGTAAGTTTCTAAAATATTCCTGTCCTGAAGTTCCCAAATAAATTCCCAGGTAATATATTTTCTGTTGTATTGTTCAAGAATTCAGTGATCAGTGCATTTTTCAGGCTTAAACCTTTTTTCATTTCCTTTTTAACAGAAGATCACCAATGTGTAGCCAACCATCTATTAACAAAGCAGCTATAACAGGTAAGAATAATTGATTTATAGAAAGCATATAACTGAAAAATGCATTTTATAATAGTAAATATATATTGCTTCATATACTTACATCCGTTCATATCCCTATATCTGTTTTATTAAAAAGGCTTTGAGTTTTTGAGTCACACAGTGACTCAAATTGGTGACTTGTAGTGTTCTGTCCTGTTAACTTCTGATTTCTATTTTATTATTCCAGTTTTATTTTAAATTCCTTCCCAATTATCTTTCCTTATATACCAGTATGTGACCATGTTGTTAATAAATTAGTTAGTAACTTTTTGCAAGGAAATCTAGCAGAAAAAACTGATATGAGGAATCCATTAATCTTTCTTTTTGGGACATAGAGTTATGTAGCAATGCAGACACAAAATCTTCACTTTAAAAGTGCTGATGCTACAAGGAGAAATGTTCAAAATGGAATTTTCTGATTTAGAATTGTAAGTCCTATTTTTATAACATTTGTATGAGAAAGAAATTTTCTTTTAAAAGATAGTATTATTTCTAAGTAAACATTGACTTTAAAACAAGACTAGCAGTGTAAATTACATTAATATTTTGGAAAATTTTACCCCACGCTACTTTTGGTTGTTTTGATGACAACTTCATCTTGGATGTCTTTATGGAAATACACTTTATTGAACCCCATATTTTTTACATCGTGTTAATTCACAACTTACACTGTGTAATTCTCCGGGTATTACTTTCTCTATCATATTCTGTCAGAGTGAAGAGCATTTGCTTTTCTTGATGAAAGTATACAGACACTTACTAAACAGGCAAATTATCATTTAAACAACAACCAGAAATGCAATTTTCTGTAATTTTCAAAATGCCTCATCTTTTTAATTGAATTATACATTTGTATCTCTAAATAAGAAATGATACTTCAGCAATTTTGAGGAGCAGTGTAGCTTTTCAATGTTCAGTAGTTTCTGCCTTTAGGCTCTGGAATGTGTTAAATCAATGGGTTTTTTCAGCTAACCTCTCACCTTAAAAGGACCCAGTCTTGGCAGTTCTGTACAGTTTTATTCTTCTAGGAACTCATTCAATATGAACATTTGTGTGTAGGCTCATCAGGGGATAGAAGTTTATGTGTTTAAATCTATACTATAAACAGAAAAGCATCATGTTAATTAAATAATAGAAAGAAGATATATCTATATATATAGACAAATTCTATTAATGATCCTTTGTTAATATATTTCTTGAAGAGGTAATTCTGTGCATTGGTTTCAAATTGCTCTCTATAAACCATTTCAGTTATGGATATTATATCTATTTTTGATTTTGTGTTTTGTCTCATAGCACAGTTATCCAGAAATATGTTAACTAGAGACAGAGATATTCAAATATAGGGCTCATTCTTTAACTCCAAGGAACTAACTTTAGAAAACATAGTGAAATTCATGACAGTAAAATAAAATTATATCCAGAAGAGAAGATGTGCATGCCTGTGAACACTACCTTACATGCTCTGCCACAGCTATTTGCCTGAGGTCAACTTCTTTTCTCCAGCAGGAGAAGCTGCTCAGACAGCAGGACCCAAGGCACTCTCTGTTGGAAGATGCTGTTGCTCTTTTTAAATTCCCCCTGATCTGAAGGTTTCCTTTCAGTTAATCCTCAGAGTGTACTCTACATGTCAGCCATTAATAATCTGAAATTTTAAAGTTTAGAAAGAAGGTACTTCAGTCTGCTCTCCAGTTAATCTAGAAAATTTTTCTTTGCCAATAAATTCAAAGGCAGCAAGAAAAGGCAAAGAATGGTAAGGATAATTTAATATAATTTAGTTTAGTCTGATTTCTCAGAGATGCTGCTGGAATTTCTGTGCCCAAATTATGCATTGAAATGGATCTGGAGCCTGTGTGCACTGGATATAAGTGGTTGAAAGACTTTAATGATATAACAAAGATATGAAGCCACTATAAAGCACAAAAATGGCTACAATTCATTTTGACTATTGAATGGAAATTGAGGCTGGATACTATTTTGCATGAAAAGGTTTGCCTGTTCTTAGTTATAAGCTGGTTTTGATATTTCCATGGCAACAAATTTCATGGCATCGGTGCAGAAATATGCATAGGTTTGTTCTTGGGGCATATAGAATCCTAGTAAAATGTCTTAACAGCTGTTAACAGATGTTAAGAAGGAAGATTAAAAACCCTTCTGCTATAATTCACAGAATAATTGAAAGCCCTTTCAGATGCTACTAAGTTTTTTTGAATTCTTGTGGGGAACATTCAAAATGTAGCTTATAGAGATCCTGCCTGCTGAGAAATCCTCCTGGTTTTGCTGTTCTCATAATTTGTGTCATGGAGTATCCAGAAAAATACACCAGCTAGGGAAGAGCCTCATAATGTCATCTACATGGCTCAGCTTGCAGTCTCAGCAAGAACTTACTGGCAAGATAGCAATCTAGGTGACTGGAGGGCACAGTGTCACTAAGCTATATTGATTACAAACCAGCAAACAGACACTTAAGATGGAGATTTTATGTTGCTAAACTTCCTGAAAGATGTGTCTCTGGGAAGATTCTCTCTGAGGAAAGGGATGATCACAGAAGGGAACTACTGCAGAAGATATGGGGGTACCAACAAAGGAAACATGAAAAGCAATCTGGTAAAGCCAAGTAACTAAAAAAGCAAGAGCAAAATCCTCTCATTTGCTATTTTAAGAACTCACCATGAGGCATAAGTCTGTGGCAGCATACCTTAGCAAAAAAGTAAGAAACTATGACAATAAGAAGTGAAACAGCACAGGAATCATCTGTTCAAATTCTTAGAAGCAACATCCACCATGGTAGCCTTAAAATTTATGGTGATTTTTCAATGTAAATATGTAGCAGTCATGATCAAAATAAAGTCTTTTCTATTCAGTATATCCACATGAATCCTTATTGGAAACTGTGTTGAAAGAAGCTAATGAATATCAATGGCATACACTACCATGCTCATTATCAGACAACTATGCTACAGCATGCTGTGTTCCTTTTGCAGACAAATTAGGGGGCACGACATGGGAGCTTTTCATGTAACAATAGAATTTTTAGATGACACCTTTCATACTTTCTTTAGACTCTAGGATGTAAATATGAATTTTAACTATAGTCAGTATGAACAAACAGAGATGAAAACTTCTGTTAGAAGTCTTCAAAGGGATATAAATTTCCTACAAGTGCCATCTCTCTCTCGTGACTAAGACCAGCCTGGAATAACAGGGTTTGCTGAACAGTTCTCTCATGCTTGGTGGTCTGTACCTCAACCAAAAGAGAGGTTTCTCTCACTATGAATCATATTTTCTGGTGTTTAATTTCAAACTGACAGTAATTCTCTTAACACAACCAGCAAAATACAAATATTTTGTTTTAAAAAACCCCAAAACTATCTGTGACTTGATGATTGAGCTTGCCAGTTTTATTCTACAATTCTTTCCACCCATCCAGCCCACACTTCAGAGTTTGCTTGTGATGACATTGTGAGAGACAGTGTTGAAGGCCTTGCTGAAGTCTTTGCATGAGACCTCACCTGGAGTACTGCACCTAGATCTGGGCCCCCCAGCACAGATGAAGAGAGTACCTGCTTGAGCTAGTCCAGAGAAAGCCATGATCAGGGATGATCAGAGAGAGCTGGAGCACCTCTCCTGTGAAGATTTGTGTTGCTCTGTTCAGAGAAGTGAAGGGTGATTTTACATAAGTAATATCAAATACAAGCCTTAAGTACATAAAGGGGCCTACAGGAAAGCTGAAAAGGGACTCTTTACAGCTGTTTGTCATGACAGGACAAGGGCAAATTATTTTAAGCTGAAAGAGGGCAGATTTACAGTAGACATTAGGAAGAAATTCTGAGGGTGGTGAGGCCCTGAAACAGGTTGCCCAGAGAAGGTCTGAATGCCCCATCCATGGAAGTGTTTGAGCAGAGGCTCTGAGCAACCTGTTGTAGTGGAAGGTGTTGAAACTAGATGATCTTTAAAGTATTTTCCAACCCAAACCGTTTTATGATTCTGTGAATTCTAATAGTAGAGAAAAAGAAACATTTATATTTTGCAGCTCAGAGAATATTCAGATTTAGCTTCCATTGAAATCCCTCCATCTGACCCACGAAGTTCAGTAACTAAGTAGCAATTCAGATGTTGGTTGGTTTAGTTAGTTTCATCCTCTTTTTTGCAAAACAAGCTCACAATTTTTCCAACAAGGGCTTTGAATATAGGATTGATAATCATCAGCTGTAGTGGAGTTGAACAATTCTAGTGGAGTTGAATCAGTTCCCCATCATTACTGTGAAAAGCGCTTTAAAGTGACCTGTATATTGTTTTCTTAAACAATCAATAATATTTTTTGTAAATAGGACAGATTTGAAAAACAGCCATATTTACATCAGGTACTCTTTTCAGTTAATCATTAAAAGTCCTTATCTAGGTCATGATCACCAGAGAGTTATCTCACTTTTAGCCTTGTTAGCCACAACACAAACAAAATCATATTACTTTGTGAGATACAGAGCACAAATTACATTCAGACTGAAATTCATTCGTACATCCCCTGACCCATAAGAAGTAAAGTATGCAGCTAACAGGTAAGGCATTAGAGAGCCTGCAGTCACCTCCCCACCCAGAGAGATTTCCTCATCTTTGGGGCTGAATTAGCAGAGTTTGCACATGCAGAGTTTGTGAGCATTTGATATTAATAAATGGAATCCATATTTGCTTGCATTCAGAAAAAAAAGCTTCACAGTGTCATAGCTGGTGCAGTACTTTCATGAGCTACAATTTAAAAAATAGCTGCTTAAATGGAGTCATTTAGTAAGCTGGTTTTCCTTTTCAAAAAGTATTGTCTCCAGTTCAACCCCATTAGTTTAGGGAAGAGACTGTTATTAACAGGATACAACTGTGAAGGCTTGCTGAATGCTTTCTTCATCTCGATTTGTAGAGTTTTAATTAATGTTGAAAAAGTTTTCTAACTCAAAAGCTTCAAATGAAATCTATATGTAGGGCTC